CCACGCACTTATATATATGTTAATCTTGATCATATAAATAACAAAATTATAAATTTTACACATGATAATACAAAATACAAACAATACAACAATAATTAATAATTAAACAACTTCGGCAACATGCGTGTGATTACGTATAACAAATAACAAATAACAAATAACAACGAGGGTGATTACCTTTCAACAAATAACAATCAAATCACAATATTCAAGGCAAGGTATATGGAGCACTGTTGCAATTTGCGAGCTTTGACTGTACAAATCCAATGGAGTTTGGAGAATAATGAAAGAAAAACTTTTATGATTAATCAAGTTTGGGGTTGGATCATGGAGGTCACGCACAAGATACGTACGACAAACCCTTTTTTTTTATAAAATATGTTGTGAGAGGTATATAATATTTTTAGGGTTTAAAATAGTTTATATACGTTTTGAATTGTACAGTGCTATTTAAACAAGATAAGGTTTTAAAACTTTACGAAGTCTAAATAAAAAATATGAGATTAGAAAAGTTATATAATAAATAAAAATAAACTAGATTTTTATAAAATATTTTATATAAAATCATAAAATATTCGGGTATTACAATGACAACACCCCTTTATTTGTCCCCACCCTAAAACCACCATCTTCTCACCCTTAAACCACCCCTCTTTCAATTTCACGAAATTCCCCCCACCTACAGCGGCCCTAACCCCCTTCCCCTTGCCGGAAAACCTTGTTGAGCCTTCCCTAGTCTGCCTCCATCCCCAATTCCACTAATCACCACCCTAAAGCCCTAAAATTGAAACCCTAGTGATTTTAGGATAGTGATTAAGGGGGGGAAGGGGGTGGAGGAGACTTAAGGAGGGCCAATAGGGTTCTCCGACGAGGGGGAGGGGATTAGGGCCGCCGGCGGGTGGGGAGGGGGGATTTTTCGAGGGTGGGAGGGATGGTTGGTTGTTTAGAGGTGGTGCAATGGGTGGTTTAGAGGTGGGGTGGATGCCCGGCGGGGGTAGGCTGCTCATCACCTCGCCGACAAGGGGATGATGGGGTATGGGGCTGCCGGAGATGATGGGGATGGGGTAAAGGGGCCGTTGGAGGTGGTGCAGTGGTGGTTTAGAGGTGGTGTTAGGGTTTATTTAATTAATCATGGCTTAAAAACAACTAATTACAATTTCGCTGGACAATGATGTCATTAAGAGCTTAAATCACCTAATTAGGGGCTGATTAGGGAAGAGGGTAGAAATCACTTGAATTAATCAGTTTTAGGGGTAGTAATTAACAACTTTTTTTTTTAGGGGTAGTAATTTACAAAGCCTCTGTTTGAGGTAGTAATTAACAAAATTTCCTTATTTCTGAAAAAAAAAACTATTAGATGTGACCCAAAATGATGCGTTTGGGTTCCCGTGCCTACTAACCCGATTGCCTCCTCTAAATGCAAGTCCCACCCATACTAGGCATTCTAAACAATTTGGGCAACTCTTAAGATTTAAAATTAATACACAACATTCACATTCACATTAGGTGAACCTTTATCCCCTTTCATATCCACATATGCATATTACTAACCAAATCTTTTCAAAACGGTGAATACTTAGAATTGGTTTCAGATCTTTTTAACATATCCAATGTATGTACAATTTCACTCCATCGCAACAAATTACATTAACACAAAAACCCAGCAACTTTTAAGGTAAAACCATAGACCTTGATATTCTACCAAAGCCAGGGTTTTTATTTACTTTCTTGGATCATACTGCCTGAAGCACAATCTGAAAAAGAGTGAACATCTGCTTGAAACTAATTACTTTGTCATCCAAAAAAAAAACCACCAAAGCTGAAAGGCATCAATCTCACCCAAAACACCCCTTTTCAAGCATTCTTTCATTCAACCACCAGGGTGAAAAGGAAATGGTGACAAGGGATCTCCCAACACAATCCCCTAGCCTAGGACTATTACATGGGGCGTTCACCGAACTGAAAAGAAGGCATTGGATAAGAAGCCTTATGTTCGATCCATTCACCGCTACCTAAACCCCTTTCTTTCAAGAACATCAAGAAATTCCCTACTCATCCTATCATAGCATTCATGACTGCATCATGTTTGCTGAAGTCTATCTTTTCCTTTTAAACCAAGTTTTAATAACAAGATTAAAAAGGATCCTAAACCGGTTGTCCAAATTATCTTATTAGGCGTGATTTTCAATTACATATTCCTTTTAAACATGCAATGTTGTGATCAATAAATTAATAATAGAACAAACATTAATATTGGAAGCAATTTAACAATAAACTGTTAGTCAAATCAAATATAAATAAACCTAATCATGATACTAGCAATATTAAAATAAGAGTAATTAAGTGAATCAATTACTCACTTTCCGCGTTTCCTTGAATTGCTATATCATGAATAAACTGTTAATAACTTCAATAAAAATATAAATCAAATTGAAAATTAAATTAAATAAAGGTAGATTTGATTTGGTCCAAACCATCAGTCAATTATACCTTTCACGCCTTGGTTTAAGTATAGAACTAATTTGGGTATTGTATGGACTCCTTGGAGTGCTTAGGAGAAGTATTATGGAAGAATAGGGAGGCTAGTGTTTAAGTTAAAGAGGGAGAAGAGAATTATTATTGGAAAAGGGGTGATATGACCTCTATTTATAAGGGAAAAAGAGGGGTTGAAGAATCAAGAAAAGATAAGAATTCGAATCGGATAAAACTCTTGTGATAGACAGCAGTTTTTGCAGTTTTTGTTTTTATCATATCTTTTGATCTAGAAATCGGAATAAAATAAATAGGATATCGTTGGAAATCTCTTGAAGTCTACTTTCTAACCCAATTAGAATCAGATTAAAATATTTTATAGACTAAAAGATATGGCCGAAATAGTGAGATGGTGTCAGTTTTGGATAGAGTTTGATATTTTATTCATATATTTTCCGTTATAGCTCGGAATTGATATTATAATATATCATTGGAATGATAATTTAAAGGGCTATCCAACCATATAAAATTTGGATAAAAAATATGACGCACGAAAATAATATCTGTCTATCTTTGAACGTCTTTCAATTCGGATAGAAATAGGATTTTCAAAAAGAAAAGTTTTATTAATTTCAAACTCTTCTAATTAATCCTAAATGGTTTAGGGATGAGATTAAAGCTTTTGGACCCTCCACATGATCATTGGGTTGTAGGTAAGGTGGGCTTAGGTTCGGTTTGGGCTCAGTTTAATATTTTGGCCATAACTTATTCATTATAACTCGGATTTGGGCTTATAATATATCGTTGGAAAGATCTTTTCAAACCCTATCCAACTATTAAATCATTGGACCCATAATATGGACCAAAATAAACCTGAATAAACGTTTTTTATAAAAAGGACACGAAATGAATGATTTTAAAGGACACGAAATGAATTATTTTTGGTTTAAAGGCATGCAAAGAGGAAAATAAGTTATGGTTTGGGGAAATTTGCTAGGAATTGGGTTGGTTTATGGAATGGAAATATGGATTTAAGTACTCCGAGATTAAATACTCAACCCGATCAATAATGGCGGTGAAAGGTTGTTCATCATCGGGTTTGGTTTTGGAAAGACATTTTTAGGTGTTTTCAACACCCCAATTCATATAATTTGTATAAAATATATGGAGTAGGAGAAAAAGATACTGCGTAATGTTTATAAGAAATTGAAATAGTCCGACCTTCCTTTAATCCTCCAATGGAAATTGCATAATTAGTCAATTCAAATATAAAATCTATTAGAAAAATATATAATTAATTTTGCATTTCTAAATTTTATTTATGTTGAAAAAAAAAAATTAATGATGTCATTATTAGTTTTGGAGGGAAATTTTTTTACAAGAAGTTGACATGTGAAAGTAATGACATCAGCGGTAATTACTTTAGTTATATTTATAGATATATTAAACTTCGATATATTTATTTAGAAAAAAAAAAAAAAAAATCCCCTTCCCATGGCACCACCACCGCCTCCTCCTACTTCAGCCATGGCTGCCACCTCCCTTCCCTTCAGCCACGCCACACCACCAAGAAACCCCCACATCAGCCCAAAGGCCCCAAATGCAGCCGCCCCATATTAGCCATGCCGCCATCAGAACACCCCACTCACCCAAAAATCCCAAAACAAACTATCCCATCCTTGAAAACCCTCCCAGTCTATTTGAAAACCCCAAAATGAACCCACCCCACCCCTTTAAAATCCCTAAATAAACCCACCCACCTCTCAAAAACCCCAAAACAAACCCACCCCTCCGTCGAAAACCAAAATGGGTGGGCAATGCGGGGGGGGGGGTGGGGATGAATTTGGGTAGGTTTGGGTGGTTGTGGGACGGTTTCAGGGAGAATGAGGAGGGTGTTTTGAGTGGTTTGGGCGGGGTAAGGTGGCGGGCAGAGGTGTTGTAGTGAGGGAGGAGGTTGCACGGTGGCCATGGTAGAGGGGAAGGACGAGGAAGGAGATGAGTCTTTTTTTCCCTTTATTTAATTAAATATAATTAACATAATTTTTTAAACCAATCATATGAGAATGTGTGGCATGGTTAACCTATTTACCGGGCTATATCCGGTTTTGAAATTAATAACCCCCAAAGTTTATAATATGAAGAAATAATCAAAAGGTTGTCTTGTTTAAATTCAACTGTTGAAAGGTAGTATTATTTATAGCAATTTTTCCTAAATATTATAAGTAATAATTGATACAAAACTAAAATATGACAAACAAGTGATATACTATTTCTGATAAGTGACTCCATAAAGTTATTATAAACAACAAAATCGTTAAGTAATGAAAATGAAATTGTTTGTAAGTCTAGAAGATGAAATCTCGTTAACTATGAAACTATGTTGTTAGGGCTTAAACCTATTGTTTCTTTATTGTCCAGTTGCCCGAGCATTGAATTACAGTAATCCAGTACACATATGTTGTTTTTCTTTTGTTTTATTTTAGTTGTACATTTTTTTATGCTGCTTTGGTTTATTTTTCTTTCACTAGGTAAATCGTTTAGCAGAATTACGGCACCAAATTGAGGTAAAGGAAGCTGTCCTTGAAGGTATGTAAGTGCCAAAGTCAGCTCTGGCCCTATCCTTTTACTTACCTGTTTCATGAATGGTATCTGCTATTTAATATTCCTTCCGTTTCATAATGTTAGTCCCATATACTATTTTGGGCGTTTAAAAAAGGTCTACCCATATTGAATATATTTCATTTATAACTTGATTTTTTTTGGAATTAATTGGTTGTGGATTGATGACATGACTCTAAGTAAGGAAATATTTACCTTAAATTATGCAATAATGACTTGTGCTTTCCTGATAAAAAATCAAAAAAGTTAAATAAGGTAAACTAATTATGAATTATGTTGTATTTTAATGTTAGATTCCAAATATATATTTTTTTTTTATGTGATTGATTCCATATGGGACTAACATTATGAAACGGAGGGAGTATCTACTTGCTTTATGTCAGTCAACCTGTTATGTCATCTATGCTGCTGCGTTGTGTTAGTAAAAAAGAAAGGGACTTTTGTAATTTTCTATGCTTTCCAAATTTCCAAATGATAGAAATACTAAGTTATAGACTTGGTGGAAGTGATCAGCAAAGGTTTGGGTCCTTGACATACATGAAATCTAAATTATTGGAAGTTTTATAATCTAATTTACTTTACCCAAACATGTTGATATGCAATCTTTATACAGAATATGATGCATAAGTGCACCCACCTACACCACCTATCAGGTACAACGGAAGACGCAAAAGGGGGAATGGAGGGACACATCATCATAGTTAGATGGTTCCAATATCATATTGCTTTGGAGAGGAAGAATGAGGGTGCGTCAGTAATTTTTCACGAAGTTATTTAGCTTTGGGAATGATAATAGATTAAATAGAGGAAATTAAGGAAGTTAATGTCCTTCTTTTGTTCTCTTTGAATTGTAACATGGAGGAGATGCGTGATATTTTAGGAGAGGAGAGAGATGAAAAGAATGACTTGTGTAATGACAAGAGAGATAGAAAGTGCCATTGGCCAAATAAAGTAATGCTACAATTAATTTGTAGCATCCTAAAAAAGGATACTTTAAGATAAAACGAGAAGGAAGTATCTGATTTTTTTTTTTAGCATTCTCTTTCCACTTTTAGGAGTATCTGGGGTGGTAATCCTCCTTTTGATGATTCAATTGCATCACTAATACAACTTACTGTCAATCCCCCCCCCCTTCTCTCTCTCTCTCTCTCTCTCTACATGTTTATTTTTATGTCGATTAATCCATTACTCACTTTAAGTGAAGTGAAAAGGTAGACAAAGAAAGGGAGTGGTGGGTTTTGGAACTTTGGAGATCAAAGAAAGAGGAGCGGATTAAAATTCCATAAATGGTATGTAGGGTGGAGGGGGTCGTTGGGCCATGTTCATTTCACCTTATTTTTGCTAAACTGAAATTATTTTTAATGAATTGAAAATATTTTTGTTGAACTTAAACTATTTTTACTGTAGTGAAATTAATTCTACTGACCTAAAATTATTTTTGTTGAACTAAAATTATTTTTTTTTACTAATACTCTGTTATATTTGTTCTTGTAAGTTATTGATTTTTACTACACTAAAACTATTTTTACTAAATAAAACTTATTTTTACTATGAAACTATTTTTACTTAATAAAACTGAATATTTTTTACTGAATAAAATTGAATATTTTAAGGTGAATTGAACAGAGTATGAAAAGATTTCTTATTATATAGGGACACTATAAGTGAAATATGACATATTAAAGAGGGATGTAAGATCATTTTGTTTTTAAGAATGTTTTATCTAGTTCTCTCTTTTTTCTTTTCTTTCTTTATCCTGTATTAGACTAATTTACAATACCTTTTAAATTCTTCATTTATCTAGAGGTATAAATGATAAAAGATGAGTGAAATCTTCGATGTGTGACCTAAAAACCCGACTTACGATAAGTGTTACAATAATATTTGATACTTGTGAGTGGAGGCTTTATAGAAGTGTAGGTGAAGTACTTCCTCGGTTCACTCCGTTTAAAATTTTGTACCAATCACATTCTTCCCTTTGACCATCCTTGTTGATTTATATGTTAATCACAATGTAGTCATGTATGAATTTATTAGATTAAGCTCAATTTATATTTTCACACTATTTTTATTATTATTTTACTCATCTATGATACTTTCTCCGGTTTTTTTTTTTTTAATTGCATCATTTTCCTTTTAAGGATGTTGCATATTAATTCACTATTTCTACTTTGAACATTCTTTCATACACTTTTTGTTTGTGATCACACCAAATACCCATTCTATCTTTACTCACATGGATATTTAACCTTATTACCTATCTTTACTCTCTTTCTATTGTTTGTAGTCACATGGACATATTTTTTATTTAAATTCTTTCTTAATATTTGTTGGCATTGTTAAATAACAAAGGAAGTATTAGATATGGAAGTTTGAAATATGCATGAGTAAGCTTGAAAATCAAATTGTTGCAACTAATAGTGAACCGGCGGCGGGGGAATATTATTATCCATGTAACAGCATTAATAGTGACCTAAAAACCCGACTTATGATAAGTGTTACAATAATATTTGATACTTGCGAGTGGAGGCTTTATAGAAGTGTAGGTGAAGTATTTCCTCGGTTCACTCCGTTTAAAATTTTGTACCAATCACATTCCTCCCTTTGACCATCTTTGTTGATTTATATGTTAATCACAATATAGTCATGTAGGATTTTATTAGATTAAGCTCATTTAAAATTTTCACACTATTATTATTATTATTATTATTTTTGCTCATCTATAATAATTTCTCCTTTTTTTTTTTTTTAATTGCATCATTTTCCTTATAAGGAAGTTGCATATTAATTCACTATTTCTACTTTGAACATTCTTTCATACACTTTTTGTTGGTGATCACACCAAATATCCATCCTACCTTTACTCACATGGATATTTACCCTTGTTACCTAGCTTTACTCTCTTTCTATTGTTTGTAGTCCCATGGATGTATCTGTTATTTAAATTCTTTCTTAATATTTGTTGGCATTGTTAAATAACAAAGGATGTATTTGATATGGAAGGTTGAAATATGCACGAGTAAGCTTTAAAATCAAATTGTTGCAACTAATAGTGAACCGGGGGGGGGGGGAATTATTATCCATGTAATAGCATTAATAATACTTCCTTCATTTTTTTTTTATTTGCCACATTTTGACTTTTGATACTATTCATAAACTTGACTAGTTTTTGTGTTTTATGACTATGATAAAACAGTCATTGGGAATCTTGTTAGAAATGTCTAAATGCATTCATAATACTAACTTTTTATAAATTTTCCTTATTGGTAATAAGATATATAAATTGTTAAACTTGTGTGTTTACAAACGTGGAAAAAAAGAACTGTGTTAACTAAAAATGAATGGAGGAAGTATATACTAAGAGGGGAAGGCGGGTGGGAGGCATGTAAACAAAGAACTAGTGTATATATTTGGAAAGTTATTTTCTTGCAAGAAACTATGAAGGGATCTTATTCATAGTTCTTGCTGCTCCCAAATTTGTAATTGACTATGCAATTTGTGTTGTGTTTGCATATTTTTTTTATCATCAAATGCACAAGTTTTTGTTTTTCTTTTGGTGTAATGAAATCTTAATTAAATTTAAAATCTATGACAATCCAATATATCTATTAGAATAGATAAGAATGCTTATTTTACTATTCATTGGAATAATTTTGTATGTCCAGATTAATATCTAATTAAAGTTTTTTAAGTGTAATATGAAGTTGAACTACTGAAGATTTGAAGCTCAAAATTTTATATTATGTTTAATATTTCTAAAGAATTTATCATCCTGAATTTTGAAATATGTAGTGAAATATTTTATTTTCTTATAGTCAACCTTGAATTTCACATGTAAGCATCTATGCTTTGGGCTTCCCTACATTGGTTTTCCTTAAAAAAAATCTTCACTTTTGTTCCTAACAAAGAAACAGTTGTATCATATTTAATTGGCCGAAGATAGGCAAAAATGGACCCGTTTTGGTGTGACATCTTGTTTGCTTGGTGTTAGAGCATTTTGGTCCGTGTACTTTGTTGATAAGTGATGTCCAGGTGTGTCATACTTTGTTATATTCCTTTGCTCAAGTTAGATGGTAGTGGAGCAATATGGGCTATGTTATCAAGAATAATATTCCACCACTAGCTAATTTTTTATTTGGGCTTGTCAAATGTCATTATAAACTAAGGCTTGGTCCCTCTTTGCTCTTCCGGCACTGGTTAATGTTTTTACTAATACTTGACTTCATAGTTATTTTGTCGGTCTAACTTTAAATTATGAAGCAGTGATACTACCTAATGTTTTATGCCATGAAGTTTGTACTCATTTACTGTGCGGCTTTATATTTTATGTTAAATCTGAACTTATTATATAATCCAAGTATATATTTATTTATTTATTCATATTAATTTCTTTTATTTATTTATTTATTTATTTTTTTGCAGAGTTGAAGAGAGAGATTTATAGTGTTCATCAAATTAGGGCCACTTTGACAAGTGTAAGGCTTTTTTCATAACATTTATGTTATAACTTAGTTAACTGATAAATATGTGCTTCTATTTAGTGACTTTTGTTTCTGAAATATGCTACTCTTGCAGTTGGCGGTTTCAAAAGGCTTTGAGTTGCAGAAAGAGATGCTGGAAGCTGAACGTGCTTTTGCAACTGACAAGAATGCAAGACTGCAAGAGAAGGTGAGTTAGATAACATCTATTCCCTCTTCCCCAATTTTCTTTTTCTCGTCTTGAATCTTGATCGTTGTCTGTTGTCCGGAGATGAATAAAAGACGTCATATTGTTTGTGTGATTGTCATACTGCATGAGCTTTAAGAATGTTATGAGACCTTATAGTGATTAAAGTTTAATGGAAAACTCATCTGCAAAGAAACTTTCATTTGTAAGGAGTTATCCTAGCAAAAATAAGTATTTGCTGATTTTTTAGGATATGTACTTTAGGACTTGCAAATGGCTCTGTATTAACATTTTACCTTGTCAAAATGCATAAGAACTCGATTTATTTCTCCCTTGCAACTTTTAGGGAATTCCAAAATTTTCTCACTGTGAAAGCCACTTTTTTTTTTTTTTTAATTTAATTTTATTTTATTGTGAACTGCTTAGCTGACTAGTTCTTGATTAGATAGCTTTGTGACCTTTCCATACTTTTGACTAAACAAATTTCAAAATTTGTTCAGTACTGAAGTTGACTTTGAATTGTACAATGTACCTTGTTGACATAATAGGTAATGAAGCTGGAAGCAAACATTAACATGACATTGAAGGAAATGGAAAATTCAACTGAAGTAGAAGTTGAGCTTAGGCGAAGGCTTTGGCAGATGACAGATCATTTGATTCAGAAACAAGCCCAGGTATATCTTTTGTATTCTGTCTTGCTTCAATGGGACATTTGTTGATGGGTCTTAGTGATGCTCTGTTTTTAAGAGACAGCTTCAGTTACTCATCATGCCAACTATCACCTTTCTTTGAAAAATGTTTATTAGAGTGCTTAACCTTTTACATTATGATATTGTTGGATTGAAAACAGTTCGTGAGGTAGTAATAAAGATAGTACATATTAAGGGAAGCTCAGGTTATGAGGTAGTTTAGACCTCCCTCTTCCTACAGGTTATGAGGTAATTAGATGATAATTCTCTTGATAAAAAGCAAAGAAGCTCCCTTGAGATATATCTAGTTGATAGGTTACAAGGAAAAACAATACCTTATCTCTTCCTAGTAGGCTCAATGTGATACTTACCTGGACTCACCCCCTTTATACTTGAAGCACCCTTCAAATTCGAGTTTACGATCGACACTAACTGTCAATGATTTGTTCTTAAACAAGATGGACAACGTATTACATTTTGCTCTACTGTTTACACAATTATCCAATGAATTTGTGGAATCTTAACTTGATGATATACAGGGTATCTAGTTTACTACCATTCTTTCGCAATAGAATATATTTGCTGTGGGATCACATGCTTAGCCTGCTGACCATGCAATGTCATATTCATGATTTAAGTTATAAAAGCACGTATGCAGTGATGCTATTAAGAGTTTATCTGACATCACGGTCTTCAACCTGCCTTGTCTATCATTTGCCTTGATTTGAACTGAGTGATATGCTGAAACTTCATTAAAAATAATAGTTGGTGATGCTCAGAGCGATCTAATTCATATTAATATGCACACATTGCTTATACCTTGGTTTGTATACTAATTGTTTAGGTTTCATATTCCATTATTTCAAGCATACCCTTTATTTAAGAATTGTACATTCTTTAACTTTTTCACCTTTTGCAGACGTTTAGTTTCTTGAATTACACTATGCTACTGGTTACGGAGTACTAATTTATTTTTGTTATTTCAGGTTGAATCACTTTCTTCAAACAAGGGAACTCTTCTTTTCAGAACTGAGGTAGATCTTTTTGTTGAATTTGCATAACATTTTAACAATGGCTGTTACACCGTTCAACATATTTGGCTACAGGCTGTTTCAAGGTTACTTGAAGAAAATAAGTCTCTAATCAGTGCGAGTGATATTTCGGGCAATTTAAGAAAAGACTTGGAAGCAGGAACATGGGAGTCAACTGGTTCTAAGCTGCGGCCAATGTTAGAAAATAAAATTCAGTCAGGGAGGCAGCACCTAGGTTCACTGCTTAGGCAGTTGGATGCAATATTTTCAGCTGGTGCAGTATTTTTAGCAAGGAACCCGGCAGCAAAGCTCTGGTCCTTGGTGTATCTTATATCCCTACATTTATGGGTTTTGTATATTTTTTTCTCTCATTCTCAATCAACTGAAGATTCCACATCCAGTTCTGTAGTATCCTTGGAGAATATCAACGGTAGTATTGGTGTCTAAAATATCCATATTGTTATAGGCATTGTTTTGTTAATTGTTCAATGAGCTTGTGTATATTATCACGGTAACAAGATCTCAACCACTGCTGGTAACCAATATATATTTTTTTCTTTTTTATTGTGGTAATGTTTAGGCAAAGTAGATTGTGTGAAGAAAGCATTTGATTGTATGCGATCTAGCTAGATTAGTGTTTGGTATTTGACGATGAGGAGGAACCTCGTCTTTGGTTGTTCATAAATATGTTATGCCGTATTCTGTACCTAACATGTACTAATTTTGGCGGTGATTTCAATTCAAGTGACATAATCTAGGTACATGTATAAGGGGTATATCACTCTTCCCTTAAGGGCTTGATTTGGGTATTTATACCCCGCCAAATGGATCAATGAGAGGGTGACACGTGTTGCTCGAAGAGGTGTCCAAATAGACTCCCAGATGATGTCACGTGTCGCTCAGATATGCCCCCTGGGAATGGCGGCCTTCAAGGCCTAAATCCCAAGGTGAGCCGCAAAACAACGCTGCCCTAATTCCTAGGTCATCAAACCCTAGGACAGGGCACGTTTTCCTAAGACCTTATAAATAGGGAGATTCCCCTAATAATTGGGGCACTTTTGAACTTTACGTCTTAATCATTAGGTGTAGACACCTATTTGTGACTCCCCAAAACCAAACCCACTGATGAATATCTTTTACATCATTTAATTATCAAACGAGATGAAAGTGTGAAAAAAGTCTAGTGATGAGGATGTTTTTATTAAAATCTCTTTCTATTTTTGAAAATATTTCTTTTCTTACCCTATTTATGAAAAACGTGCATTTCAGTTTAGTTTGGTCCATGATCAGGGTCCAATAATAATGCAATTGGATAGGGGTTGAAAAGACCTTTCCAACAATATATTATAAGCCCAATTCTGATGAATAATGAGGAAGTTATGGCCAAAATACTAAACTAGGCTCGTTTTGGTTCTTATAAGCGGCCCAATGATCTAGAGGAGGGCCTAATATTAATTATCATTCCTAAGATTGATTATAGTCTTCTAGAATACTCTAGAAGGTTCTCTTAAATCCTAATGGAGTTAGGATTGATAATTAAGTTTCAAAGAGTTTGAAATTAAATAAAACTACTCCTTTAAAAAATTCTTGTTTTGTACGAGATGGAATATGTTCATATATTATTTTCGTGCCTCATAATCTTTATCTAAGACTTATGTGGTTGGATAGATCTTGAAATTATCTTTCTAATAATATATTATAATATTAATTCCGAGCTATAACGAAAAAGATATGAATGAAATATGAAACTCTATCCAAAACTGACACCTTTTCACTATTTCTGCCATATCTTTTTATATACAAAATTTTTTAATCTGATTCTAATTGGGATGGAAATTAGACTTCAAGAGCGTTCCAACGACATATTATATGCCTTATTTGGACTTTTGGATCAAAGATTATGATAAAAACAAAATACGCAAAAAACTATCTTGCAACGCCAAATAACAGGCATGTCGCGCTGCGACAGACTCTGTCACACGACGACAGAATCGTGTTTTATTCCTCTTCAAACTCCGATTTTTTTTTATCAAATCCGGACTATTTTCACTACAAATAGCGTCATTAGACCTCTGTTTTTTAAAAAACTCTTGTTTAGGGTAAAAATACCCTAGACACGTGGACCAACGAGAGGAGGCCACGTGTCGAGTTCAGGATGGCCCACGTGGCCTAATATCCCCTTGACACATGGCCCCCTTGGATAAATCTCTGAAATGGCGGCCTTCAAGGGCCCAAATCCCAAGAAGCGCCGTAAAACAGCGCAGCCCACTAAAATCTAGGTCAAGTGACCTAGATAGGGGCACATTTTCCAATGACCCTATAAATATGGAGATATTTCCCCACTTTGGGGACACATTCAATCATTTATTACACCTACATTCTCTCTCATCAGAGAAACACCTGAGCTTGGAATCCAAGCAAATCCCCACCTAAATTTCCGTACTCTTTATTCCCTTTCAAGTTATTAACTTGATCTTCGGAGGCGGAGCTCTAACCACCCGGAGTCTCCGTTGTTTTGCAGGTACAGCTCAGCCAGACCAATCTTTGTGACGTAACTCTCCCAAGGGACAAAAACACCCAAAACAACTCTCATCAAGAATTCTATAATTCTTCTCTATCTCTATCTCTAAGCTAAAGCTTATTCTCTCTCTCCCTCTTTCTAAGCCCACCTTTTCACAAACAAAATTCCGCATTCATAAGATCTAGACACACTTAGCATAGTTCGAAGTTGTCTTCGCTCTACACGTGAAAGGTTTGATATTTCTGAGGGTTTGGTCCTAAATATTTATTTCATTGCTTGAATTATTATTTTCCTTGAAGTTACTAACGTGTGTATAGAAAGAGGCACGAGACATCCAAGTAAGTGCTTTAATTGTTTTATTAATATTATGATATTGAAATCATGCTTAGATTATTACTTTGATTCCTAGTATCATGTTAGGATGTTTTATTGCTTCCTAATATCATATTTAGGGTGATTTGCTTATATCAAATATGATTTCTATAATGCTTCCTATTTTCTTTCCTAATATTCATGTTAGTATCATGTTAGGGCTAAAGCTTTGTTTTTTGTTACTTAGTGACATGCTAGGGTTTGTTATTAATCTTGTTAGTATCATGCCTAGGTTCTTTCTATTATTATGCTTTAACATGATTATTTTTATTTTTATAATTTGATTATTGTTGCTTGATGCTTATTATTGTTATTGCTTGATCACGCCTTTTATGCATCTTGAAAGGGAATTGATACTTGTAATCACGCTTAATAAGATAATTAATAAACTTGTTTAAGGTTTAATTTGATTATAATTCAAGTGATCGCCAATAATAGTTTTATTTGTGCATTAATATTCAACCAACATACTTAAACAGGTTTAGGGTAAACCTATTGATTGCATGTTAGTCAGAAAGCGCACATGAATACGAGAAGAATAAAGTAGAGACCTATTATTATGGCAGGTTCAATATCTTTTAGGTTGGATTTGTACCTTCATCCCTGAACACCAGTCACAGTTCCAGACCTACTAGAGTTAACGATCTCATGGATCGTTAAGGGGTGTAACCTTCACCATATGAACGGTTTATAAATTCCTAAAACTTATTGGCGATTCTTTTGCTCTAGCTTCTTTCCCTTTGGACGCCACAATGCTTAAGTGTATGATCACAGTGGGGTTCAAGTTTGGGGGTAATGCTTGAAATATTCCCTACATTAGGACATTTATTGCTCTCGAAAACAGAGAACACCTGATCTCAGAATCCGAGAAGATACCTACTTTTCGCACATTTTTCTTCGAATCCGCACTAACTTAATCTTCGAAAGCGGACCTCCGACCATTCGGAGCTCCGTTTGTTTTGTAGGTACAGCTGCTTGTAGACACCTAAAAATGTTTCCCCTAAACCAAACCCGATGATGAATAATCTTTCACCGCCATTATTGGTCGGGTTCAGTATTTAATCCCGAGAGTGCTTAAAAAATCGTATTTAATTAAATTCACTTATTAAATAGTCCATGGATCAGTCTTGATGTTTAGTCAAAGCATAGTTTATTTTTAATTTTGGCCTAATCCTTTTTTATTTATTTTATTTATTATTTTGGCCCAAACCTTTTTTATTTTATTTATTATTTTGGCCCAAACCTTTTTTATTTTATTTATTATTTTGGCCTAATTAATAAATAATAAATTAGAAATGGCCCGAAATTATCAATCGGCACTTAAAAAGGCTGAACGAAATTAGGGCAAAAATGTATTTAGACGGAAAAATGGACGCAGAAATTACTGCGTCACGGCAAAAAGCACCACGTCACGTGGCTCAATGCCGCGCCACGGTGTGAATTCCCGTGACACGGTGCTAGTGCTGTGCCATGGGGTAGCTCTGTGTCCTCTCCGCGTAAACCCTTCACGCGTTTTATCTCCCATAACCTATTTATTTCCCGCGTCACTTAGTTTTCCCCCGTGTCAGGGATTTTTTCCCGTCTGACGGTGTCTGGCACCATGTCGCGGTGTTTTCTGCCGTGTCGCGGTGTTATTTTTTAGGGTTTTTTAAAAATCTTTTTAGGGTTCCGTGTGTTCCCTCTACTCATTTTCCCAACTTTCCCCCTCATTTCTGATGTACGGGGCATCAATTAACTCTCTTTTTCTCTCTTCTATGCTCTAGCCTAAACACTAGCCTACCCTTCTTCTTTCTACATTCCCTCTTCAAGCACTCCAAGGAGTCCGTACTTTACTCGAGATTCTGTCCTTAAACCAAGGCGTGAAAGGTAGACCTGTTTGAGGGTTTGGCCCCTAAATCAAATCTATTTAATTTAATTTAATTTAATTATTGCTTTATTATTTATCCATGATTAACTTGTTTATGATTTTATAGTTGCAAGCAAACAGAATCAAAGTAAGAATTATGTTCTCGTTGGATTTATTGTTAAACTGCTTCCAATATTAATGTGTGTTCTATTATTATTATGATCACCATGTTGCATGTTAAAGGGAATATGTAATTGAAAATCACGCCTAATAAGATAATTTGGACGACCGTTAGGTTCCTTTTTAATCTTGTTGTTTAATCAAGTGATCACAAATATTTTAGAATTATATGTTGCATTAATATTAAACCAATTTAGCATATGATAGTTTGGAGCAAATTGAATCTTTGTTTGCATGCCTTTGAGATCACATGAATCACTTTTCAGTATAAGAATCGAGTAGAGGCCAACGTGACTCCATGACTCACTTCGTACCATCATCTCCGATCCTCCTTTTGTGGTTCCGAACCACATGGAGTTAGTAATCTCATGGATTATGAATTGGGTGTAACCTTCACAGGTCAATCGTTGTTGCCTATCGTTGTCCCTTATTGTGGTTGCCTTTTATGATCCGTGAACGGTTTACAAGTTCCTTATAAACTTGTTGGCAACTCCCTACTTTCCTTGTCCCTAATCGTATTATGTCAATTCCCACTTCCTATGAGTGCCAAGCATATTCACAACATGCTTTAACGTAGGCGCACTTCAAACGACGCCTACAATTTGGGGACTCCACTGGGGAGGATTCTTGGTTATTTATCGATTTGAGTGATCGGTATTTAATTAAGATGAGTGGATGAGACTTGAA